GGGAATTGGGAATAGAGTACCATTTTTTTTCACTTTTCTTCAAATAACTTTTGATTTTCTTCTCGGACATTATAATTTGTTTACATCAGTAAAAACTAGAAAAAAAATTACTAAAATTTAGTAAAAACTGTTTAGTAAAAATTTTGTATAAAATTAGTTATTGTAGCATTAATGAGGCACTTTTACGTTTCAACTGTATTACATAACTTTCTTGTTAATTTTATGTTGCATATCTTTACAAAAACTTATAAATTAAAATTTATAAATTTATAAATTAAATCTCTTTGCTTTACATTTCAACTAAATATCTATGAGTTAAATTTAGAAGAGTTTATGTTCGAGGGGATGATCTCAAAGAAAAAATATAAAATAGTCCTCTAAATGATCAAAAACTGTTTAATCTTCTATATATATATAAAAATAGTCGGGTTTTCCTTACTGACGAAGTAACTCCAGAACGCACGAACCGATTTCGACAATTTTGCATTCGTTGGAAATGTCTCGGGCTCCACAAGGTTTATAGCTAAGAAAATTAGTGGTGCATGGCATCGTGCCCTAATGCAAATTGCTGGAACTTCACGCACCGTAATTAAAAATTCGAGTTATGACATTAGTGAGAATTAACAGAATTATGCTTGGTTAAGTCAACGAGCAATTCTTGCCGCAAACAATAATGATGTACACGCACTGAATTTTATCATTCAATCAAAAATTGCTGGCGTTTTGGTGACATACCAATGATTCCGACTGGTCTTCCGTTTGACTTCAAACGATTGCAATTTCCAGTTTGCCTTGCAATCGCAATAACAAGTCGCAAGGCCCAATCGCTTAGTGTTTGCGGGATAAATTTCAAATAGATTATTTAGAAAATCATTGTTTTTCACATGGGCAGTTTTACGTTGCCTGTTCACGAGTTGGAAAACCGTCCGCTTTGTTTGTGTTAACGTCAGACTAAAAAACAAAAAATGTGGTTTACCAAAGAGCACTTCAATGAAATAAATTCATTACTGTTGTATAATAAAATCAAATTTTTCCTTTTCAAATATAAAACAAACAAAAATTTTTCATCTTTCTCAAGAAACCATCTGGTGGCGAAACGGAGTTCGTCGGGTTTACTAGTTTAAGTATAAATATTCATATAAGTATATAAATATTTTTTTTAATTAATATAATTTTCTTTATTTTTTAGAGAGCTTTATCCCTCCATCATTCGATGGTAGGTGGTCGTCGAATCAACGTCCTCTACACCCAACCTGGTCACAAAAAGAGTGCAGAGGCCAAAAAAATTGTCAAACAAAAAAATTTCAAACTGGGCGCTATGAGGAAACAAGGAATGCTTGCAGGAAGCGTAAAACAAACACAGAGCAGGAACGCTCGAAGGAACAAAGCCAAAGGAAAAGATGGTGCTAAGAAGTACCGGGATGAATAAATTTAGTATTATTAATAAATGAAATTTGTATGCTATTGTTATATTATTATTGTCGACTGTTGGGTTGTATTGACTGAAGTGATGTCTAAGTCTGCGAGAGAGGAAGTTGTATGTTCAGATTTATATCGATGTATGGAAATTTGATTTTTATGCATTTGTTTTGACATTGTAATCATATAAGTGTAGAAATAAATGCAGGAGTAACATATCAAGAGTTTTCTATTTGTTTGCAAATTACATAGATGTTAAGGTAATGATGTTGAAGTTTTTTCTAAATTAATTATCTTTTAACTTCTCGTAGGGCAAGTTATAGGAATTGCAAGATAATCAAAAATGAAAATTTTTATATATCTTTACGTTTCAGAGGTTTCTGAATATTTTGGCATACCTTAGAAAAAATGGATGTGTGTGTGTGTGTGTGTGTGTGTGTGCGTGTGTGTATGTATGTATGTGCGGATACAAATTTTCGTTGACGATTTCGGGAACACCGATCAACCGATTTGAATAATTAAAAAAAACACTCGATTCGTATTGAAAAGGAGACGTGCTGATTAGTTTTTGGCGAAGGCAGGTCTAGCCGTTCCGAAGATACGGGGCAAAAAGTGCCTAAAATGGTAACTCAGTTTTTAAGAGAACGGAGCGTCCTATTTGAATAATTCAAAAACATTTTACTTGTATTGACAATATGAAGAATTGATCAAATTTTCATAAAGGCAGGTCTAGCGGTTTTCGGAGATCTAACGAAAAAAGTAAAAAAAAAATGCCATTTGGCGGTCAAAAATGATCATTAGACATATGCACATCAAATTATCAGATATTTTATAGAGATTTTAACAATGTGTATCAATTTTGTTTACATTCCTATGGGTTCTGTACCAATGTTTATCTGTTAGACGCCGACGCGGCGCCTACGCGCTTTTACATTTCGTCTCTATGCAGTTAAAGCAGTACGTTTGCTTTGAAAAAAAGTTCAGAATTTCCAAAATATGTCAAAATGAAGAAAACATTTTTTTTTTCAAAAAAATTTTTGTTTTCAAAAAAAAAATTGTCTTTCAAAAGAAAATAATTTTTTGTCAAATTTATAGTTTCTCAAAAATCTAATTTCTCAGAGTAAATTTTTTTCCAAAATGTTATTATTCTAAAAAAAAAAATAATTTTTGGTACTGAAAGTTCCAGCAATTTGCCTTAAGAAATGTCTGAAAATTTTGTAATTTGTTAGAACCGTATAAGTGAACTTCAGAAATTAAAAGTTTTGGTACAGAACCCCGAAAAAATTGCAACAAAATTAGTACACATGTTTAAAATATCTGATAATTTGATGTGCAATATCATTTTTTTTACATTTTTTTCAGTATCTCCGAAACCGCTAGACCTGCATTTCCAAAAATTTAATAAATTCTTCATATCATCAATACAAGTAAAATGTTTTTTGAATTATTAAAATCGGACGTTCCGTTCTCTTAAAAACTGAGTTACCATTTTTGTCGCTTCTTGCCCCGTATCTTCGAAACGGCTAGACCTGCCTTTGCCAAAAAATAATCACCACATCTCCGTATCAATACGAATCGAATGTTTTTTGAATTATTCAAATCGGTTGATCGGTGTTCCCGAAATTCATTTTTTCTAAGGTATGCCAAAATGTTCAGAAACTTCTGAAACGTAAAGATATATAAAATGTTTCATTTTACATTTTTTTTGCGATTACTATAACTTAACCTACGGGAAGTTAAGGTTAAGGTTACTTACTCTGTGTTTGACGAATATACTCGCCATAGAGTAGTATGACGAGTATATTCGTAATTATAGTAAATAATAAATATCATTCATCGTACATGCCAATAGCAACTTGATCTGTGTTTGACGAATATACTCGTCATGGAGCATTATATCGTAATAATAAATAAAAAATATCATTTACCGTACTTACATCTTACCAACAGCAATTTACTCTGTGTTTGACGAATATACTCATCATGGAGTATGATGAGAATATTCGTAATAATAAATAAAAATATTATTTATCGTACATCTTACCATTAGCAACTTACTTTGTGTTTGATGAATATACTTGTCATGTGTCGTCAAGTGAGCGACACTTATTGTTAAATTATAAATTCAATTTCAAAATATTTTAACAAAAAAAAAATTAAATCGTTTTGTTAGATTTCAGAAAGTTCATGCAACTTCTTTAAGGTAAAAAATCGTAAACTTGCAGTCTAGAGTCTGGACTAGGGAATGCAATACCGATGGAAAATTTCAATACCGGTATTTCGGCAATTTTTCATTTTTAAACCGGAATACCGGTAAATTACCGGTATTTTTATTATCTTAAACAAACGTAAACAAAATTGAAAGTTACTAGTACAAATATAAAAAAATGTATATACAACTACAACTATATTCAACTAAACAATAAAATAAAACAATAAGTAATTTAAAGAATAATTTAACAAAAGTATATCCAATTTAATTAATTCATTATCACTATCGAGTATATTGAGACTTTTCACGAAAACAAACTTATGAATAAGAAAGACCGAAAACTCATAAAAAAACATATTTCTTACATTATTATAATATACTGTATTGTCTGTATCCGATGTGTTAGATTAGCATAATCTCGAATATTTAAAAAAAAATTATTTTTCTACACTAATTTAAGATCTGATACTTTGTCAAGACGAACAATAAGTTACTATAATTGTTGAGTATTGTCATTTAAAACAATGTGATGCTTCTATAGTATTTTCAAGCTTCTAAACGTCTTCGAAAAATAATATTTTTAAATTGTAATGAGAAGCAAAAATATTTAGTAATTATCATAATTATTATATATAAAGTTAGAAACAAAATAAAGATTACGCAGAGGTAATCTGTATGATATAAAATATTTTGGCGCAAATATCACTTAAAAAACCGTTACATTTTTACAAAAGATGATACAAACATCATTATCTATCAGTCCAATTCTATTTATTATAACGCGATATGAAGCCCTTTGGAAAGCAATAAATATTCAGTTTAATGACGAGTTGAGATAATATTTGACATTTGTTTATCTTATAGAATCACTTGAAGATATAGCTGTTTATGCGATTGTAGAATTTAAAGATAAATTTGTTCCGAGAAATTTAAACTTTAGTGTATTTTGTATCAAATAGCGCTTATGTAAAAATACCGAAAATACCGATATTTTTAGGGTAAATTCCGGTATTAATACCACCGAAAAATCGGGCGGTTTACCGGTATCGCATTCCCTAGTACACAGCACAAATGTTTTCAGGCATTTTTCATTAAATCAAGATTTGTAGTGCGATGTAATTTTAAAATGTTTATTTATCTATGCCGCAACTGTGCACCCTCTCAAGCATTTAATAGTTTATTTGCAGACAGCTTCTTTGTTATTTTGCTATTCATAAAATTTACCTAATGTCCATTGGACAGATGTAAATTATATCCAAAATAAAAAAAAAAAATATCTATGCCGATTTCCTTGTTGATATCGGTAATCTTACAACGACAGGATTCTATTCACATACACAACGACTAATCCCAATCGACTCGTGTTGAAATGATATGGTCGAGAGTGAATGAGGTAACGCTATTTCCGTTGCTTTTGTACGGATTTATACACTAGTCGCGCCTAAAGAAGTTTTACTACTTGCAGTCCAGACTATTTACGTGTATGTTTATTCATATGTATGAATATAACATATTTACCCATTATCCTTTTTCTAGGAAGAGAAAAAGATCCAGGAACGCAAACGCAACGTCCTCTACCTAATTTCCCACTATCTGCGAGACAACGGCTTCCGTCTAACATCCGAGACGTTGTTTCAAGAAGGACAACTGTCCGAGACCTTCCAAGTGTGCGACAATATCGATTTGGAGACGATTCTGCAGGAATACGAGAACTACTACTATCTGAAATTCCAGAAACAACCTAAGATCATCAAGAAGGTGAAGAATGATACTAGCATCGCCAGTTTTGATAACAAAATTAGGAAGGTGAAGAGCATTAGTAGCAGCGAAAGCAAAAAGAGTGCCTCTGATGTTGCTTCACCGAAAGACTCGAATGAGAAGAAGATGCCGTCGAATATGTCGATAAAGGTCAGTAGGAAATGTAATGAAAATCTCTTTAATTTCCCGTAGGTAGTTATAGTAATGGGCCGAAAATCGAAAATGAAAATTTTTGCATTTCTCGACGTTTTGAAGGTTTCTGAACATTTTTAAGGGGCATACCTCAGAAACTAAATGAATGTGTGTGTGTATGTATGTATGGATACAATTTTTCGTCTACGTATTCGGGTGTACGGATCAACCGATTTGAAAAACCGGTTCAAAAAACATTCAATTCCTATTGATAGGGAGATGTGCTGATTAGTTTTTGGCAAAGGCAGGTCCAGCCGTTACGGAGATACGGAGCAAAGAGTGCAGAAAATAGAAATCGAGTTTTTGAGAGAACGGAGTGTCGGATTTGAATGATCTAAAAACTCTCAGTTCGTAATGACGAGGAAAAGTGGTTATTATTTTTTGGCAAATTATATATAACTGTAACAAATGTAGCTGAATGTACTTTGTATAGCTTGCTATGAAAAATAAATAAAAAAAAAACTTTTTGGCAAAGGTAGGCTCAGCGGTTTCGGAGATACAGAGCTAAATGTGCAAAAAATGGCAGTTTTTGAGAGAACTAAGCGTCCGATTTAAATGATTCAAAGAACTTTCTGCTTGTTTCAACAAAATAATTGCTTTTGGAAAAACAAATTTGCTTCTAATTTTTTTTTAAATATTTTTGTAATTTTGGATTAGAAATACAAAACATTCAAAAAATTACCCAGGCTAAGCACAGTCTAAGCGTCACTCTGGTGCAAATGCTTACACAAGTGCGTTTAGACGCTTTATGTACTGGAGAACTTTTCCAATTTTGTGAAAACTATTGAAAAATGTGAAAATGCCGCCAAGCTAAGCACAGTAAAAGTGAAAATGTCACACAGAATTATTTGCAAATGCGTTTAGACTGTGACTATGACGGGAGCACTTTTTCAATTTTGTGTAAATTTTGACGCAATTATTTTTTTTTTGAAATTGAATTCGAAATGAAGTGACTAAATGATTGTTAATGTTCTGGAGATAAATTGATTTATGATTTATGATTTACATTCGATTTGCTCAGATATAACAAGATAGTAAAAATAAAGAAAGTTACAGTATTTGTAATAATAGATTTGATAACGTTTAAAATTTCTCGAATATTTCATTACGGGAAGTTCCAGCAATTTGCCTTAAGGCACGATGCCATACACCACTAGTTATTTTTAACTTCCCGTAGGGCAAGTTATAGTAATCGCAAAAAAATCGAAAATGAAAATTTTTATATATCTTTATTACGTTTCAAAGGTTTCTGAACATTTTGGCATACCTTGGAAAAAATGGATGTATGTGTGTGTGTGTGTGTGTATGTATGTACGTGTGTGTATGTATGTGCGGATACAAATTTTCGTCGACGATTTCGGGAACACGGATCAATCGATTTGAATAATTCAAAAAACATTCGATTCGTATTGATAAGGAGACGTGCTGATTAGTTTTTGGCGAAGGCAAGTCTATCCGTTCCGAAGATACGGGGCAAACAGTGACGAAAACGGTAACTCAGTTTTTAAGAGAACGGAGCGTCCGATTTGAATAATTCAAAGAACATTTTACTTGTATTGACAAGATGACTGATCAAAGGCAGGTCTAACGGTTTCGGAGATCTAGTAAAAAAGTAGAAAAAAATGCCATTTGACGGTCAAAAATGATCAATAGACATATGCACATCAAATTATCAGATATTCTATAGAGATTTTGACAATAAGTATAAATTTTGTTTACATTCCTATGAATTTCGTACTAGTGTTTACGCGTTAGACGGCGACGCGGCGCTTACGCGCTTTGATATTTCGTCTTTATGCAGTTAAAGCAGTACGATTGCTTGGAAAAAAGTTTAGATCTTCCAAAATATGTCAAAATAAAATAAAGAAAAATTAAAAAAAATTTTTTTTTCAAAAAAAAGTAATTTTTTGTCCAATTTATAGTTTCTCAAAAATCTTATTTTTTCGAAGTAAAATTTTTTTCAAAAATGTTAATCGTTTTTAAAAAAAATAATAATTTTTGGTACGGGAAGTTCCAGCAATTTGCCTTAAGGCACGATGCCTTAATTGCCTTAAGACAGAATTCCACTTACAGCTAGTTCTTATATTTATCTTCTATCTATTTAGGTGACTGCTTTGTCGAGTGCTCGCTTAGAAAATGGGACACCGACGCCGTCAATTAACCCGTATCAAGATTTGCCGAATTTGGTCGAACGTCCCAAGAACGTAATTCGACCATTGTGCGAATGTCCTGGTTTTGGAAACAGCGAATGGCGCGAAATGGCAGAAATTGTATCCAGGGAGATAATTACTTATAATTTGAACGTGCGCTGGGACGATGTACAAGGTAATAAGGGCCGAAGGCCGTAATAAGAATTTTACTCTTTTTCGATCCCTTGTTTATAGTTTATTTCTTAAATTTTCCTCGTGTGTTGAAGACAATTGTGTGTCAATATGGGCACGTGCCAACTTTTCTTTCTTTCTACATGATTCCAAAAAAAAATCTCTAAAAGTTTTGGCTCTTAATATTAGCGTTTAGATAGTCCGCAATTCAATTAAACGTTTTTTTTTTTACAAAGCATTTATCCGATATCTAATATCATTTTTTGCAAATTTGCAAGTATACACCGACTTGGTGAAAGGTTTCTACATCAGACAGTATTATATAAAATTAAATTTAGCATAAATTTGCCGAATATCACATTTATTTTAGACGAACCGTTCATAAGTTACAAGAGATATAATAAAAAGTGGACCAATGGGTTGCCAAACTATAAGGGTCAAGATGTTGTCACGTCAAATATGGCATGTGAGGTATCAAATGAAAGGTCTCATCGAGTACTATCCAAATATCATATTCACAAATCAATAGGGTTTCGAACAATGTACTTTCCTGTATCCAAAATCTTGTTACTAACATTGTTATATCAAAAAAATTGTATAATTTATGTTTGATCAATGCAAACATAAATTACACATTAGAAATAAACAATTATTATAAGCCTAATAAAATATAAGCAAAATATTTTAAGCTCGGAATAATTATCAATAAAGACATTCAAATTATATATTACATTAAAAAAATTAAACGATAACAAATTACAATTTTCATTAGTTTAATATTGAAGCAATATTTAGAGGGTAAGTAATTTATAAATGTTGTTAAGTGTCGTAATATTGGAGTTCACAAATGGCGAAGAACTACGAAACTTTTAATTGAATTGTGGACTATCTAAATGTTAATATTAAGAGCTAAAACTTTTGGAGATTTTTTTTTATTAATTTGGAAGAATTTGAGACCATGGGATTAAAGAAAATGTCCATATTAAGGACCACCCTAATATATATATATATATTTTCTCTCACTTTTTTTCAGGCAAAATTTCTCTACATCTTCTGTCATCTCTACATCCTCTGGCAATCTTAATTTGTTACCAAACGTTTTGTAGCAGGGTTAATTTTTCATTGACTTCTCATGTCGAGTTTTAATTTGCTCGTCAGTAGAGTCCTTATTGTCCATTTTTATGTTTTATTTCTCCATTTAATTTGTTAATAATATCTAGTATAGGCAACACACGCACACACAGGTCGTCATGCGAATGTCGTTCATAGAGGACACAGGTAGTCATTGGGTTATTTGTAGTTTGGTCAATATCTTGAGTCAATATGTCAATATTATTGACTCAGGGAGCGTCCGTTAATCACGTGATCATTTTTTTAAGGATTTTTGGACTCACTCCTCCTGGGTGATATTCAAAATTACTTTTCCTTCCACCACCAAAAATTTGGTATATAATATTTAATATCACGTGTATTTTTAGTTACGAGAAAAAATTGTGAAATATTTGATTTTGAAATCTCAGGATTTTTTTTTAATTCAGGTAAAAAATGATTACACGTGATATCTTACTATACCTCTCCCTACCCTACGTGGTATTTTGTGATTTTTTGTCAAACCTCGAGGTCCTTTTCCTCCTCCTAAAAACCCCCACATAAAATATAATGTGTATAAAAAATATATTTATATAATAAAAAATATATAATAAAAATATTTATATAAAAGTTATTTTTTTCCTATACCATTAATGCTCTTTTTCCAACTAGAGAGCTACAATAGAATGTTCTTTTTTTCTAGTGGAGTTTTATCTAGTTTCCAATTCCACAGGTCATAATCACGCCAAGTCCTTGCTGGTGGAATCCCTAATATATCCTTTGAAATATCCGCACTTGTTCAAAGGAATTCTGACCCCTTGGAAAGGGATTCTATTACACGGACCTCCTGGCAGTGGGAAGACTCTTCTGGCCAAAGCAGTTGCAACCGAGTGCAAATCCGTGTTTTTCAATGTATCTACGAGCAGTCTCATATCGAAATGGAGAGGAGACAGCGAGAAATTAGTAAAGGTAACAAATCCTAATATCCTAATTTTTATTAGTTTATATTATATTACATTATTTTCATATCTCATACGGACAGAAGTGCCTGGTGTGAGAGATTATGAGAACAGTTTTCTATTATAATTAAAATATCTCTATCTTTATATAACTCTTCGGTCTTCTTTGTCTTCAATTTTCTTATAGTATTTCTTTATTTTTTTTTTAAATTTATCGTCATCAGTGGTCATCTCAATATCGTTTGGCAATTCATTATATATTTTACTAGCGCTCCATATGACATTTCCTCTCAATTTATCCTTTCTATATTGTGTTCAATGTGAAAATTGTTTTGTTGTCTAGTGTAGTGTTCGTGTATATCTTGATTTGTGTCTATTGTTGTACTTGTTTTAATTCTGTTATATTTCATTTTGTGTATTAATTTGTATTTCTCTATTTTTATTATGTTGTTTAGTGTATGAATATTCGTTTCTGTTTGTAAGTATTTGGTGGGTGTTAAGTGTGGAAAATCATACGATATTTTTATGGCTTTGTTCAGTATTCTCTGTATATCATTTAAGTTAGCTTTAGTTGTTTGACTCCAAGTATTTATTCCGTATAAAATTATGGGTATTATATGCGCTTTTAAAATCAATATCTTATTTTTTTCCTGAAAGGATGGATCCTTTTTAAAGCTCCTGTTAATGCCGCTATCTTCTTTTTAATTTCATTTATATGTTTTGTCCATGTTAGCTTTTCGTGTATTATAAGGCCCAAGTATTTTATATATTCCACTTCTTCTATATCTGTATTATTTATTAACTTCCCGTAGGGTAAGTCATTGTAATGGGCCGAAAATCGGAATTGAAAATTTTTACATTTCTCGACGTTTTGAAGGTTTCTGAACATTTTGGCATACTTCAGAAAAAATGGATGTGTGTGTATGTATGTATGTATGGATACAAATTTCCAGTCACGTTTTAGGGCGCACGGATCAACCGATTTGAATGGTTCAAAAAACATTCGATTCCTATTGATAGGGAAAAGAGCTGATTAGTTTTTGGCAAAGGCAGGTCCAGCCGTTTCGGAGATACGGAGCAAAGAGTGCAGAAAATAGAAATCGAATTTTTGAGAGAACGGAGTATCCGATTTGAATCATCTAAAAAACATTCAATTAGTAATGATTGGGAGAAGTGTTTATTAGTTTTTGGCAAAGGCAGGCCCAGCCATTTCGAAGATACGGAGCTTAATATGTAAAAAATGGCAGTTTTTGAGAGAGCTAAGCGTCCGATTTAAATGATTCAAAGAACTTTCTGCTTGTCTTAACAAAATAATTGATTTTGGAAAAAAAATTTGTTCCAACTTTTTTTTTTTTTTTAGTTTTTTGTATATCGAAAATATTTCAGATTTTATTTTTAATTCTGACTATTAGTTCTAATATACTTTACAAATAATTTCAACTTTGCAATTCAGTTTATATAATTCTTATAAATATTAAACAATGTTACAATATTTATAATAATCTATTTGAAAACATTCAGTATTCCTCGAACATTTCGTTACGGTACGGGAAGTTCCAGCAATTTGCCTTAAGGCACGATGCCATAATTGCCTCAAGACAGAATTCCACTTACAGCTAGTTTTAATGTTTATTTTAGTAATTTCCTTACATTTTTTTGTTTAAAATGTATATACTTAGTTTTTCCAATGTTGATCGTTAATTTATTTTCAATTAGCCATTCATAATATAATTTCATGTCTTTGTTAATGATTTCTTCTAATATTTTTTCGTCTTTGTCTGCATAGACTATGGCAGTATCTACGGCGTATAGGATGTATTTTCCCATTAATTTTGCCTCTTGAAGATTGCTTGTATAGATGAGATACAATAAAGGTCCTAGAACTGAGCCTTGTGGGACTCCACAGTTTACTTTGCGATGTCACTTGCCACATTATCAAACCATGGTCCTTACTTGTCTTTCTGATAGGAAATCTTTGATAATGCTAAGTGACAAACCTTTTAATCCCAGCTCTATTAGTTTCATAATTAATATATTATGATCCACCGTATCAAAAGCTTATGAATATCGCTACTGTATGCTTATTCTCTTCAAGGTGCTCACTTATGGTATTAGTTAAATCCGTCAATGCACCTTGAGTATTTGAGGACGGTAAAAACCATATTGATTTTTGTCAATTGTTTGAATGAGAAGATTAAGTAATCTTTCTCTTATTACTTTTTCATCAATATCCTTATTTTTATTGATTTATCTAATTCCTCTTTTATTACCAGGTGCTCTTCGATTTGGCACGTTACAACGCCCCTTCAGTGATATTCTTAGACGAAATCGAAGCCATCAGTTCACACAGGGACTCGCCATCAGAGCATGAAGCCTCTCGCAGATTCAAAAGTGAACTTTTGAGACAACTGGATGGCATACAGGACCATAAGGAGGATCATTTGCTTTTGCTCGCTACCACAAACCTGCCTTGGTAATAATGATTAGAACAAAATCACTTGGTTGTCCGTTTAATAATAATTTATTAACTTCCCGTAAAATATTTTTTAACTTCCCGTAAGGTAAGTTATTGTAATGGGCCGAAAATCGAAATTGAAAATTTTTACATTTCTCGACGTTTTGAAGGTTTCTGAACGTTTTGGCATACCTCAGAAAAAATGGATGTGTGTGTGTGTGTGTGTATGTATGGATACAAATTTTCGCCCACGTTTTCGGGTGTACGGATCAACCGATTTGAATGGTTCAAAAAGCATTCGATTCCTGTTGATAGGGAAAAGAGCTGATTAGTTTTTGGCAAAGGCAGGTCCAGCCGTTTCGGAGATACGGAGCAAAGAGTGCAGAAAATAGAAATCGAATTTTTGAGAGAACGGAGTATCCGATTTGAATGATCTAAAAAACATTCAATTAGTAATGATTGGGAGAAGTGTTTATTAGTTTTTGGCAAAGGCAGGCCCAGCTATTTTGAAGATACGGAGCTAAATATGTAAAAAATGGCAGTTTTTGAGAGAACTAAGCGTCCGATTTAAATGATTCAAAGAACTTTCTGCTCGTCTTAACAAAATAATTGATTTTGAAAAAAAAAATTTACAAATAATTTCAACTCTGCAATTCAGTTTATATAATTCTTATAAATATTAGACAATGTTACAATATTTATAATAATCTATTTGAAAACATTCAGTATTCCTCGAACATTTCGTTACGGTACGGGAAGTTCCAGCAATTTGCCTTAAGGCACGATGCCATAATTGCCTCAAGACAGAATTCCACTTACAGCTAGTTTTAATATATGTACGTTTCAAAAGTTTCTGAACACTTTGGCATACCTTAGAAAAATGGATGTGTGTTTGTATGTGTATGTGTGCGTGTGCGGAAACAAATTTTCGTCGACAATTACGGGAACACGGATCAACCGATTTGCATAATTCAAAAAACATTCTGGCAAAGGCAGGTCCAGCCATTTCGGAGATACGGAGTAAAGAGTGCAGAAAATTGAAATCGAGTTTTTGAGAGAACGGAGCGTCTGATTTGAATAATTAAAAAAACATTTTATTTAAATTGACTAAGAGAAGTGTTAAAATTTTTGGAAAGACAGGTCCAGCGGTTATGAAGTTTCAATAAATTTCTTTTAAAAAATGTCAAATGGTCATTAGGCATATGCGCATCAAATTATAAGATATTTTAAAGGGATTTTAATAATGTGTACACATTTTATGTAAATTTTTTTGGGTTCCGTACCAAGATTTTTAATTTTAAAATTCAAGTAGATGGTTTAAACAAATGTCCTCGACATTTTAGACAGATGGAATAATCGATTTGTTTGATTGAAAAATCATTGGGTTCGTACTCGATCGCGAGGCGTTTTTGCAAAAGGTAATTTTGCCTTTTCGGAGGTATGGAGCGCAAAGGTGTAAAAGCAGTCATTCATTTTTTGAGAGAACGGATCATCCGATTAGATTAATTCAAAAAAGACTTTGCTTAAGTAGACGGTGTGCAAAAAATGTTTTACAGAAAATTTCGTAATTTCGAAAAATTTCAATTGTTTTTTTTAAAAAAAAAGTCAAACTTCTAAAAAAATTTCTAAATTTTCAAAAAAAGAACAAATTTTTATAACAATACTCAAAGTTATTTGTTGAATACGCTCGTCGTCTAATTCAAAAAGCATTTATAAGTTTTACAGTATGTATTTATAATAAACTAGCAAACCCGACGAACTCTGTTTCGCCACCAGATGGTTTCGTGAGAAAGATGAAGAAATTTTTTGTTTGTTTTATATTTGAAAAGGAAAAATTTGATTTTATTGCACAACAGTAATGAATTTATTTCGATTACAAAAATGAGGTGTTTTTTAGTTGAACTTCTCTAAGTAAATGAAAGTGAATCCGCAAATTATCCGTTTCATTGAAGTGCTCTTTGGTAAACCACATTTTTTGTTTTTTGGTCTGGCGTTAACACAAACAAAACGGATGGTTTTCCAACTCGTGAACAGGCAACGTATAACTGCCCATGTGAAAAACAATAATTTTCTAAATAACCTATTTGAAATTTATCCCGCAAACACTATGCGATTGGCCTTGCGACTTGTTATTGCGAACGCAAGGCGAACTGGAAATTGCAATCGTTTGAAGTCAAACGGAAGACCAGTCGGAATCATTGGTATGTCACCAAATCGCCAGCAATTTTTGATTGAATGGTGAAATTCAGTGCGTCTACATCATATTTCTTGGCGGCAAAAATTGCTCGTTGATTTAACCAAGCATAATTCTGATAATTCTCACTAATGTCATTACTCAAATTTTTAATTACGGTACGGGAAGTTCCAGCAATTTGCCTTAAGGCACGATGTCATACACCACTAATGTATTTCTTTTTTCTTAGGGAGTTGGATTGTGCAATGCTCAGACGTCTAGAAAAACGTATCCATATAGATTTGCCCGATGAGAAAACAAGAAGTATGATGATCACTAAACTGTTACCCAGGTCCATTCGGTGGCCTATAAACGAGATGAAGGAAATTCTCGATAAAACTATTGGATATTCGGGTGCTGATATTTATTTAGTATGCAAGGAGGCTGCTATGGTTGTTTTAAGAGAATCTGTGAAGGCTGCTGAAAGTAAAGGTAAAGGGATAAATGAGGTACGCGATACAAAGGTATATAATTACTACTTTTTTAGGTAATAAAGTTGTTCCTGAGCTTTCGGTAGATTTATCAACGATAACAGCTCAGCAATTATTAGACGTTATAAAAAGAACAAAGCCCACGGCTTATCACTTGGTGGAAAAACACAGAAATTGGGCAAACGTCTTTGGATCCACATAGTAAAAAACTAACAAGTAATTTTACATAGATTTCTTAGATTATTTTTATAACAAATGAAATATTTTTTGAGATTTTAAGAAATAAATACAATTAGTTTTTCGTAAAAATTTTATTTATTAATACATAATGTTAAGTAAGTAATTAAATTATTATGATGACGTAGACATTAACACTTCTTTTTGCCTGGAAAGAAAAGAAATAATAAATATATGGAGTCAAATATATATATATATATATATATATATATATATATATATATATGTATATATATTAGGACCACTCTAATATATATAAATTCATTTATTATCTATTACTACCTTTCATTTGCCCATGATACAATCCAGTATAATATCCGCTCATATACCAAGACATAAGCATTGCTGCCAAAGCATCATTTTGTTCGGGGTCGCTCAAGGGGCCTCCATTCGCTAACATTGGAGGCAGGGGCGGTTGTGGCGGTAACAAACCTGGCCCGAATAGGTCAGAATCTAAAAATAAAATATATAACGATGTAAATTTAACGTTTTGTTATTTATTTTTAATATATAGCCCACAGATTTCTTCCAAGTGGACTCAAAAATACAATTATTTTACATAATGAATAACAATTAAAATATATACAAAATTACAATATATAGTTATTAACATAAAATGCTTAACATAAAATTACATATAATGCAGAATGTAACAATATTATTTATAAACAGAATAAGATAAAATAATGAGATATTTGAAAAGAAAATAAAAGGGTTAACTTGTGCAGATGGAGATTATTCGATTATTAGGTGAAGTGTTGTGAATATCTATTTTATTATTAATTAAGATAAAGTTAGAGGACATAAATAAAATTGGCGAATTTAAGAGAGAATTATATTTAGAAGTAGGATAATTGAAAAATAATTGTGAACGCGTAGATAGCCTTGGAACATTAAAGGATAGTTGATTGAGAATAAGAGGACAGTCTATAGAATTATTGCAAAGTTTAAATAAGAACATAATTGTACAGATAAATCGACGTGAGGCAAGGGAAGGAATACTAAATTTTTTTTAGTAAAGTGTTGGGGTCAAAGTCAGAGTTGTTGATTTGATGAGGATACCAAACGATCGAACCATATTCTAATTTTGAACGTACATTAGAATAGTACATGCAAAGAAGTGCATTGGTAGATTTAAATTGTTTACAATTTCTCAGTATCAAACCTAACGATTTATGTGCTCCATTACAAATATCATTTATATGATCTGTGAAAAACAAACCAGAATCAAATAGAACTCCTAAATCTGAAATTTTATTACATCTATCAATGCTGGTGTTAGAAATTTTATAATCAAAATATATTGGAACGCGCTTGTGTGAAAAACTAAGAATACTGCACTTTGATATATTTAAATGCAATTTGTTATAGACACACCAAGAGTGGAAAGAGTCAAGTTGAGACTGTAATAATAAGCAGTCATCAATAGAATTTATTTTGAGATATAGTTTGAGATCATCTGCAAATAATAAATGTGGACAGCTAATAATATCAGATATGTCACCAATAAAAAGAATAAATAGTAGTGGACCGAGAATGGATCCCTGAGGAACACCTGAACTGATATTTTCAATATTGCTCAAGAATCTATTAAGATAGACAAACAAAAAACTGTTTACGATTATGAAGATAACTCTTAAAAAATAAATAAGTGAAGAATTAAGACCAATCTTAGATAATTTAGTAAGAAGAATGTTATGATCAATTTTGTCAAAAGCTTTACTGAAATCATTGTAAATAACATCAACTTGTCCATTAGTGTCAAGATTCTCAGCTATATATTGTTTAATACTATACTACTAATGTTGATTAGTAGAAATTAAAGTTCCAACAGAACCAATTATAAGTAGTTCTCTATAAATAATTTTTTCAAATACCTTAGCAAAGTTTGATAATAATGATATCTGCCTGTAATTAGTAATGTTTGATGTATCGCCTTGTTTAAAAGTTGGAACTAATCGTGCAATTTTCCAACAATTTGGACAAATGTTTGTACGCAATGATAGATTAAATAAAAATGCAAGTGGATCAGATAGAGCAGATGAGCAATCACGTGTAAAGAAAGATGGAATACTATCGAAACCAAATATTTTGGAGTTTTTAAAACTTGCTATTGCCAGTTGCACAGTACTAGAATCAATTACACCTATATCAATCATGATTCTATCATTATGATCAAACAAAATGGGTATGTCATGTTTAGGCTGATAAATACTAATAAAGTAAGAATTAAATGCATCAGGAGAATATTAGAAGCAGTCTTATTATGCAAAAAAGACCAGAAATATTTTGGATTAAGCGATAGTTATTGATTAAAATGAATGTTTACCTAAAGGTTTATCAGTCTTGTTTTGTTTGTTCTTCTTCGGTGTCTTTTTCTCTGACTTCATATCATCATCTTCCTCTAATTTCTCGTAATAAAGTTTAGCCTCTTTAATCTGCTTCTTCTGTTCCTCAATACCCCACGACGGCATTAACCTTTCTAGCTTGTCAACTTGCTGATTAGCATATCCTAAAAACAACGTAAGAGTTAATAAAAACACGGTTTGTGTTTGTTTTCAACCTGAATATTATCCGGACCTAAAAATTCTATCAAACAAGTACTGTCGTGATAAATATCGACAATAGTGGCTTCATAATCAATTTTATCCTGTTTATAAGTAGCACGACAATCGCTTCCTATTTCCCAAACAGCAAATTCCTCAACTAAATCAAAACCATGACTTCCCTCTTCAGAATTTTCGGAGTCTTTGCGAGATTGTTTATCTTGTTTTCCAGAAGTGACTTCAGCCAATTTCTTGGCAATATCTTCATGAGTTATTTTCGACATTTCGTTCCAAGTTTTGACTATTATGTCGTCGTTTGCGGCTATATCGAAATCTTCAGATTCTATTGAGAAATTATCCTAAAGGAAATACTCACATAAAAGTAAAGCCGACACTGTCAGTGCATAAAATGCATGAAACTAACCTCAATGTTTCTGACAACTAAAACATTGTCTTCATCTGTCATAATTGTAAATGCAACTCGGCGAAGCTGAAATTTATAAAACTAATAAATATATAATTATGTACTTGTTTTATGTCAGGATGTGATAATTTATATTGTTAAATTAATAGCTGAGAGCTGAATGCTACAGGCTACAGGTGAGTTTCCACAATCCACACCAACTTGTAAAAACTGTCAAAACCTGTATGAAACGTTAAAATTACAAAACAAAAACTAGTGGTGTATGGCATCGTGCCTTAAGACAAATTGCTGGAACTTCCCGTACCGTAACGAAATGTTCGAGTAATTTTGAATGTTTTCAAATATATTATTACAAATACTATATAACTTTCATTATTTTTGCTATCTTATTGTTATATCTGAGCAAATCAAATGTAAATCATAAATCAATTTATCTCCAGAACATTAACAATCGTCATTTCATTTCGAATTCAATTTCAAAAAAAAAATAGTTGCCTAATTTGCACAAAATTGAAAAAGTGCTCCCGTATAGTCACAGTCTAAACGCATTTGCAAATAATTCTGTGCGACATTTTCACTTATACTGTGCTTAGCTTGGCGGCATTTTGACATTTTTCAATAGTTTTTTTGGAGCCCAATTCATATTTTTCTTCTTTTTAATTTACGTGACCAAAATTTAAAGTTGAAACAGATTGAACGTTCTCAAAAATGCATAATTCGATTTTGATAAAACTTGACGTACATTTTTACTATAGTTTACTAAGATTGTGACCAAAATTTAAAGTTGGATCATTCAATAGCTTCTGAGATATGCGTGGTTGATAGGTGGCTGGCTCAGAGCTCAATACTAACATTTAAGGTTTAAATCATTTCTAAATATGCCGTGGACCCCCATTTTTATTTTGTGGACCCCCAAATTTTGTTTTCCCTGCCGTGGACCCCATGAATGTTGCCTTGGACCCCTGGGGGTCCATGTGGACCACTTTGAGAATCACTGGTCTAGGGTTTGCATGTCAGCCATCTTTGAATATCGATAGACATTAAAATGTCAAAATTTTAGTTGTTTAAAATAGTGGAAAATAGCAAAAATATAATTAAAAATCAAACAATCAGTTTAATAGTAGCTAAACGTTTGATTAATTTACTTAAAACATATTTAAATAAAATATTCAAGATGCATTTAAAATTATTTTGACAGTTTGCATGTCAGCCATCTTGAAATATCGATAAACTTGCACAAAACAAGTTCAATTATATTTTAATTTTATAAAATTAAACGTTTTATGCTAAATTTAACGTCCATAATTATTTATTACCATTTATTACCAGAAAATAAATTATTTTACCATTTATTATTTTCACCAAGTATCGATTTAAGTCGATGTTATTTTCCACATCGATATTTCTAATCACATTCCTTTTCTGCAATTTTTCTTGAATCCGCACTTTGATTTTAGTCCGTTCTAAAAATATATGTATAATTATTTAATAGAAATGGCTGCCAGGTTTATTACAAGATTGGTAAGAATTTAATCAAATTAATCAAAATCACCCTCAAAACTATGACTTTTATTTTAACAAATGTTTGCACAAAATTGTTATGTCAAATGTTATTTAACACATTGCGCAAATTAATTAAATTAGTATCAAAATTGAGGACAAAGTAATACTTGATATTAACAATGTGTATTTATTTGTATATTTATCATTTTAGTCCCGGTCCGTTCCATCTGTCTCAAACCGTTCCTACAGTAGTGATGTGAAAAAAGTAACTTTAATTCCTGGTGATGGAATCGGTCCAGAAATTTCAGCAGCTGTGCAGAAAATATTCACAGCAGCTGATGTACCCATTGAATGGGAAACTGTTGATGTTACACCTGTCAAGGTAATTGTAATAATTGGTTTTTTATAAACCTAACCTTCAATATTGCGACAATTTTTTTAGTACCCCGATGGTAAATTTGGAATCCCACCTGCAGCCATTGAATCTGTTAACCGTAACAAAATCGGTTTAAAGGGACCTCTTATGACACCGGTCGGAAAGGGGCACAGATCTCTCAATCTTTTGCTTAGAAAAGAATTTAATTTATATGCTAACGTCAGGCCTTGTAGGAGCTTGGATGGGTAAGGTAATAGACCTAGCGTACATGTACCTGTTTTTAATATTTGTGTTTTCTTTTTTAGTTATAAAACTCTATATGACGATGTGGATGTTGTGACAATTCGTGAAAACACAGAAGGTGAATACTCTGGTATTGAGCACGAGATTGTTGATGGTGTTGTGCAGTCAATTAAACTAATTACGGAAGATGCTTCAAAAAGAGTTGCTGAATATGCTTTTGTTTATGCCAAAGAGAACGGCCGCAGCAAAGTTACGGCTGTACATAAAGCAAATATTATGTAAATATTTATTTATTTTATTTATTTATTTTAAATATATAGCCGACAGATTTCTTCCTCTTGGCTATAACAATACAATTATTTTACATAATGAATAACAATTAAAATATATACAAAATTACAATATATAGTTATTAACATAAAATGCTTAACATAAAATTACATATAATGCAAAATGTAATAATATTATTTATTTACATAATAAGATAAAATAATGAGATATTTGAAAAGAAAATAAAAAGGTTAACTTGTGCAGATGGAGATTATTCGATTATTAGGTGAAGTGTTGTGAATATCTAAGTATTTCATTATTAATTGAGTTAAAGTTAGAGGACATAAGTAAAATAGGCGAATTAAATAAAAGAGAAAATTAGATTTAGGAGTAGGATAATTAAAAAATAATTGTGAACGCGTAGATGGCCTTGGAACATTAAAGGATAGTTGATTAAGAATAAGAGGACAGTCTATAGAATTATTGCAAAGTTTACATAAGAACATAATTGTACAGATAAATCGACGTGAGGCAAGGGAAAGAATATCAAATCCTTTTAGTAAATTGTTATGGTCAAAGTCACGTTCAGGGTAAATTTTATATGTTTTATAATAAAGATATTTCAGACATTTTTGCTGAACCTTCTCTATCGCATCAGAGTTGTTGATTTGATGAGGATACCAAATAATCGAACCATATTCTAATTTTGAACGTACATTAGAATAGTATATGTAAAGAAGTGCATTGTTAGAATTGAATTGTTTACAATTTCTCAGTATCAAATCAAAAGATTTATGTGCTCTATTACAAATATCAGTTATATGTTCCGTGAAAAACAAACCAGAATCAAATTGAACTCCTAAATCTGGAATTTTATAAGCTGAAAATCAGCACCAACAATATTAATTTCTTGTTTTCTTCATTTTAGGAGAATGTCAGACGGTTTGTTCTTGAGATGTTGTCGTGAAATGGCTGATAAGTATCCTGAAATTAAATTCGAAGAGAAATATCTGGATACAGTTTGTTTGAACATGGTGCAAGACCCCAGGAAATATGATGTATTGGTATGTACTGTTAGGATACAACTAAATGTAAATCTGTTGGTTGGTTTTAACCAATTTTTTTTTATTTAGGTGATGCCAAATCTGTACGGTGACATTTTGTCTGATATGTGCGCTGGTTTAGTAGGAGGTCTTGGTTTGACGCCATCAGGAAATATGGGACTTAATGGAGCGCTATTTGAATCTGTAAGTATACACTTGAGTTATTGATTATTAAATATATGAACTATCATATATGTGATGTAGGATAATTTTAGTTTTCCATCGTTTAGGGCATTTTTTTACATTTCTTAAAATGGCTTTAAAATTTTCATTAATATTACAATGTTTACTTCAGTAAAAATTAGATAAAATTTATCAAAATCTAGTAGAAACTATAGTATATAATTTTATGATGAAGTTTTGATCAAAACTTGTTAGTTCATTTTTTTTTTGTTAATATTTTTAGCAATATGTGAATTTTACACATTTTTTTTCATTTCTTTGAATAACTTGGAAATTTTGCCCCGGACATTTTGTTTTATATACATCAGTAAAAACTATATAAAATTTACTAAAATCTAGTAAAACCTTTTATATACACTTGTATATTAAAATTTTGAATAATTTGTAATTGAAATGCAGACTTTAGTATTTCTATAATTTAGAATTTAGAACCTTTTTTTACTTTTCTTCAAATAATTTTTGATTTTCTTCTTAAACATTATAATTTGTTTACTTCAGTAAAAATTAGATAAAATTTATCAAAATCTAGTAGAAACTATAGTATATACTTTTATGATGAAATTTTGACCAAAACTTGTTGGATCATTTTTTTGTTAATATTTTTAGCAATATGTGAATTTTACACATTTTTTTTATTTTCTTTGAATAACTAAATGTGAATCTATGAAAATTTCCAATTTTGCTCCGGACATTTTGTTTTATTTACATCAGTAAAAACTATATGAAATTTACTAAAATCTAGTAAAACTTGTATATTAAAATTTTGAATAATTTGTAATTGAAATGCAGACTTTTGATTATTTGCATTATATGGATTTAGGACATTTTTTTACATTTTATCAAATAACATTAAATTTTCTTTCCGGATTTTATAATTTGTATACATTAGCTATACTAAATAAATTAAAACTAGTTATACAAACTAAATTTAAACTAACAAATTAAAACTAGATAAAATTTACTAGAATCTAGTAAAAACTGTTATATACATTTGGATATTAAAATTTTGAATAATTCATACTTGAAATGCAGACTTTAGTATTTCTATAATTTTGAATTTAGAACATTTTTTTTACTTTTCTTCAAATAACTTTTAATTTTTTTTCGGGACATTATATATTGTTTACATTAGTAAAAACTAGATAGGATTTACTAAAATTTAGTTCAAACCGTTATTTACAATTGGATATTAAAATTTTGAGTAATTCGTAGTTGAAATGCGAACTTTAGCATTTCTATAATTTGCATAATATGGATTTGGGATATTTTTTTACTTCCTATCAAACAACTTCTGATTTTCTTTAAATTATGGAATTAAATTAAAACATTAAATTTAGAAAATTTACTAGAATCTAGTATAAACTATTCTTTACACTTGGATATTGAAATTTTGAAAAATTCGTAGTTGAAATGCGGACTTTAGTATTTCTATAATTTGCTTAATATGAATTTAGTACATTTTTTTTACTTTTTATCAAATATTTTTTTATTTTTACCTTGAACATTATAATTTGTGTACTTTAGCAAAAACTACATAAAATTTACTAAAATCTGGTATAAACTGTTCTATACACTTGGATATTGAAATTTTGAAAAATTCGTAGTTGAAAAGCGGACTCTCCAGTATTTTGATGATTTGCATTACATGAATTTCTAACATTTTTTTACATTTTTTTAAGTAACTTTTAATTTTCTTCTCGGACATTATAATTTGTTTACATCACTAAAAACTAGATAAAATTTACTAAAATCTAGTACAAACTATTATTTAGACATCAATACAAAATTTTTGAAAAACTTTAATTTTTTGATAATTTGCCATATAAAAATTCACAACATTTTGTTACTTTTTTAACTTCCTGTAGGGTAAGTTATTGTAATGGGCCGAAAATCGGAATTGAAAATTTTTACATTTCTCGACGTTTTGAAGGTTTCTGAACGTTTTGGCATACCTCAGAAAAAATGGATGTGTGTGTGTGTGTATGTATGTATGGATAAAATTTCCCAGACACGTTTCCGGGCGAACGGATCAACCGATTTGAATGGTTCAAAAAACATTAGATTCCTATTGATAGGGAAAAGAGCTGATTAGTTTTTGGCAAAGGCAGGCCCAGCCGTTTCGGAGATATGGAGCAAAGAGTGCAGAAAATAGAAATCGAATTTTTGAGAGAACGGAGTATCCGATTTGAATGATCTAAAAAACATTCAATTAGTAATGATTGGGAGAAGTGTTTATTAGTTTTTGGCAAAGGCAGGCCCAGCCGTTTTGAAGATACGGAGCTAAATATGTAAAAAATGGCAATTTTTGAAAGAACTAAGCGTCCGATTTAAATGATTCAAAGAACTTTCTGCTTGTCTGAACAAAATAATTGATTTTGGAAAAAAAAAAATTTTGTTCCATTTTTTTTTTTTTTTTTAGTTTTTTGTATATCGAAAATATTTCAGATTTTATTTTCAATTTTGACTATAGTTCTAATATACTTTACAAATAATTTCAACTTTGCAATTCAGTTTATATAATTCTTATAAATATTAGACAATGTTACAATATTTATAATAATCTATTTGAAAACATTCAGTATTCCTCGAACATTTTGTTACGGTACGGGAAGTTCCAGCAATTTGCCTTAAGGCACGATGCCATAATTGCCTCAAGACAGAATTCCACTTACAGCTAGTTTACTAATTTGCATGAGAAATTAATTGTTTCTACATATATCACATTGCAAACTGAATATGCTTTCTGTTTCTACGTATCCATAGTTAAGTTAGATTGTTTATTATAATGTATTAAGTATTCTAGATTTTATATTAAATAAAATACAAAATATTTTAAATTGCATTTCCGAATCTCGTGTTGGCGCCCCCTAAGGCGTGCGCCCGCATTTTTTGCATGCATATATCTTTCAAATAAGCTTTTGTTCATAATTTAAATTACTTAGCTTCATTATTACTATTGAAATATTATTTATTGCATTGACTACGTGGCTTTTGAATCATAGGGTGTTATTTTATCCCCAGGTGCACGGAACAGCCCCAGACATAGCCGGTCAAGACAAAGCCAACCCCACTGCCCTCTTGTTATCCTCCGTAATGATGCTGAGACACATGAACCTTACAAAACACGCAGACTTAATTGAAACAGCAGCCTTCGAGACAATCCGTGAAGCCAAATACCTAACAGGTGATTTAGGAGGCAACGCTAAGTGTTCAGAATTCACAAACGAAATATGTGAAAAGATATCCAAAGCAAAATGATTCCGCTAATTGAATCATTGAAAGCATTTAAATTAATAATTAAATCCAATAGGAAAATGTTAATAACAAACAAAAGATAGTGTAGATTTTAATTGAGAGATGGACAGTCGAGGTTGCCATGATGTAATATTTTTTTTGTCTTGTATATTATTTTTGTAACGGGTTTTACACAGATTTTCAAATATATATATATATACATATATAAAGTATTTTATCATTGCTGTTAATTCGTAGTCAATTACAATGATGTACAAATGTAAATTGAATATAAATGTAATTACTTAGTGTATATTTTTCAAATATTGTTTTTTTTTGTGATAGTATGTTCATAATTTCAATGTAAATACGTACCATCTCAGTTTTATGCGTTAACATTAACATTAACAGCAGAAGCAGTATTATTAGTAATTCTGTTCGCGCTGAATTGGCTTCTAATATTATTGTATTATTTATAATTGTAAAATATACTTATTTATTTCGAATGAAATTTGTTGTTTTAAATTAATTATAAATTATATATATATATATACTAGCTGACCCGGCAAACGCTGTTTTGCCATCAAAAATATTTTGCCGCATTGCAGAAGTTCTTATAATATACATGATATATCAATAATAATGTTATATTTTTATTACACAAATTTATTTACATTTTGATAATTAATTCAAACGCATCATAGTGCTTTATTTATTTTAATTTTATTTATGTCAAATAGTGAAATATTTTTTTAATCAATGAATAAATTAGATTTTAGTCTGAATCAACGCAGTACCATTATCTAAATATTTATATAATTTTTATATAAATATCAGATTTTTTACTTTTGCATTTAATTTAAAAATATTGAATGTCAATTTCATATATCCAATATGCACTAAATTTTTAAATGCCAAAATATTTCCTTTTTGTTTCGAAATTTAATATAATGATATAATTTATATCTATTATTTGATTGCCAATATTGCCTATAACATAACTTGGAATAATTATTTATTTATATATATATATATATATATATATATATAAATAAATAAAATAAAATAAGTTTTTTTTCCAAACAATTAATCCAAAATAAATTAGTATTTTGTGATATTTAATTATGACGTTTTAGAACTAGATACATCCCATCATCAGGTTTTGCTATCAAAATTATTTTTTATAAAATAACAATAACAATAATGATTACAGAATATTAAACACATTTTGAAGGAATAAATTATAGTTTTTCTTAAAAATAGAAAAATGTAGAAAATAAATAAATCCAGCACTTGTAAACAAAGTATTTAATGATATTTAAAAAATCTGAATATTCTTAAATAATTTATTTGAAGTTTTTATTTATTGTTGTTTGTAGATAATTTGCATTACATGGATTTAGGACATTTTTTCACTTTTCTTCAAATAACTTTAAATTTTCTTCATGGACATTATAGTTTTTCACATTAATAAAAACTAGATAAAATTTACTAATATCTAGTAAAAACTGTTATATACACTTGGATATCGAAATTTTGAAAAATTCGTGGTTAAAATGCGGATTTCCGTATTTTGATAATTTGCATTATATTGATTTAGGACATATTTTCACTTTTCTTCAAATTACTTTAAATTTTCTTCATGGACATTATAGTTTGTTTACATTAATAAAAACTAGATAAAATTTACTAAAATTTTGTTACTTTTTTAACTTCCTGTAGGGTAAGTTATTGTAATGGGCCGAAAATCGGAATTGAAAATTTTTACATTTCTCGACGTTTTGAAGGTTTCTGAACGTTTTGGCATACCTCAGAAAAAATGGATGTGTGTGTGTGTGTATGTATGTATGGATAAAATTTCCCAGACACGTTTCCGGGCGAACGGATCAACCGATTTGAATGGTTCAAAAAACATTAGATTCCTATTGATAGGGAAAAGAGCTGATTAGTTTTTGGCAAAGGCAGGCCCAGCCGTTTCGGAGATATGGAGCAAAGAGTGCAGAAAATAGAAATCGAATTTTTGAGAGAACGGAGTATCCGATTTGAATGATCAAAAAACATTCAATTAGTAATGATTGGGAGAAGTGTTTATTAGTTTTTGGCAAAGGCAGGCAGGCCAGCCGTTTTGAAGATACGGAGCTAAATATGTAAAAAATGGCAATTTTTGAAAGAACTAAGCGTCCGATTTAAATGATTCAAAGAACTTCTGCTTGTCTGAACAAAATAATTGATTTGGAAAAAAAAAATTTGTTCCATTTTTTTTTTTTTTTTAGTTTTTTGTATATCGAAAATATTTCAGATTTTATTTTCAATTTTGACTATAGTTCTAATATACTTTACAAATAATTTCAACTTTGCAATTCAGTTTATATAATTCTTATAAATATTAGACAATGTTACAATATTTATAATAATCTATTTGAAAACATTCAGTATTCCTCGAACATTTTGTTACGGTACGGGAAGTTCCAGCAATTTGCCTTAAGGCACGATGCCATAATTGCCTCAAGACAGAATTCCACTTACAGCTAGTTTACTAATTTGCATGAGAAATTAATTGTTTCTACATATATCACATTGCAAACTGAATATGCTTTCTGTTTCTACGTATCCATAGTTAAGTTAGATTGTTTATTATAATGTATTAAGTATTCTAGATTTTATATTAAATAAAATACAAAATATTTTAAATTTCATTTCCGAATCTCGTGTTGGCGCCCCCTAAGGCGTGCGCCCGCATTTTTGCATGCATATATTTTCAAATAAGCTTTTGTTCATAATTTAAATTACTTAGCTCATTATTACTATTGAAATATTATTTATTGCATTGACTACGTGGCTTTTGAATCATAGGGTGTTATTTTATCCCCAGGTGCACGGAACAGCCCCAGACATAGCCGGTCAAGACAAAGCCAACCCCACTGCCCTCGTTATCCTCCGTAATGATGCTGAGACACATGAACCTTACACAAAACACACGCAGACTTAATTGAAACAGCAGCCTTCGAGACAATCCGTGAAGCCAAATACCTAACAGGTGATTTAGGAGCAACGCTAAGTGTTCAGAATTCACAAACGAGATATGTGAAAAGATATCCAAAGCCAAATGATTCCGCTGATTGAATCATTGAAAGCATTTAAATTAATAATTAAATCCAATAGGAAAATGTTAATAACAACAAAAGATAGTGTAGATTTTAATTGAGAGATGGACAGTCGAGGTTGCCATGATGTAATATTTTTTTTGTCTTGTATATTATTTTGTAACGGGTTTTACACAGATTTTCAAATATTATATATACATATATAAAGTATTTTATCATTGCTGTTAATTCGTAGTCGTCAATTACATGATGATGTACAAATGTAAATTGAATATAAATGTAATTACTTAGTGTATATTTCAAATATTGTTTTTTTTTGTGATAGTATGTTCATAATTTCAATGTAAATACGTACCATCTCAGTTTTATGCGTAACAAACATTAACAGGAACAGCAGAAGAGTATTATTAGTAATTCTGTTTCGCGCTGAATTGGCTTCTAATATATTGGTATTATTTATAATTGTTAAATTTAAAATATACTATTATTATATGAATGAAATTTGTTGTTTTAAATATAATTATCAATTATATATATATATATATATATATATATATATATATATATACTAGCTGACCCGGCAAACGCTGTTTTGCCATCAAAAATATTTTGCCGCTTTCCAGAAGTTCTTATAATATACATGATATATTAATAATAATGTTATATTTTCATTACACAAATTTCTTTACATTTCGATAATTAATTCTGACGCATCATAGTGTTTTGCTTATTTTAATTTTATTTATGTCAAATAGAAATATTTTTTTCAATCAATGAATGATTTTAGTGTGAAACAACGCAGTACCATTATCTAAATATTTATATAATTTTTATATAAATATCAGATTTTTTACTTTTGCATTTAATTTAAAAATATTGAATGTCAATTTCATATATCCAATATGCACTAAATTTTTAAATGCCAAAATATTTCCTTTTTGTTTCGAAATTTAATATAATATGATATAATTTATATCTATAATTTGATTGCCAATATTCCCTATAACATAACTTGGAATAATTATATAATATATATATATATATATATATATATATAAATAAATAAAATAAAATAAAATAAAAGTTTTTTTTCCAAACAATTAATCCTAAATAAATTAGTATTTTGGAGATATTTAATTATGACGTTTTAGAACTAGATACATCCCATCATCAGGTTTTGCTATCAAAATAATTTATTATAAAATAACAATATTAATAATAATGATTACAGAATATTAAACACATTTTGAAGGAATAAATTATAGTTTTTCTTAAAAATAGAAAAATGTAGAAAACAAATAAATCCAGCACTAGTAAACAAAGTATTTAAGAATATTTAAAAAATCTTAATATTTTTAAATAATTTATTTGAAGTTTTTATTTATTGTTGTTTGTAGATAATTTGCATTACATGAATTTAGGACATTTTTCCACTTTTCTTCAAATAACTTTAAATTTTCTTCATGGACATTATTGTTTGTTTACATTAATAAAAACTAGATAAAATTTACTAAAATCTAGTAAAAACTGTTACATACACTTGGATATTGAAATTTTGAATAATTTATAGTTGAAATGCGGGCTTTAGACATTAATAATTTGCAATATGTGGATTTAGGACATTTTTCCACTTTTCTTCAAATAACTTTTATTTTTTTTGGACCTAAGTATTTGTTTGCATTAATAAAAACTAGATAAAATTTACTAAAATCTAATAAAAACTATTATTTACACTTGGATAATGAAATTTTGAATAATTCGTAGTTAAAATGCGGACTTCAGGACATTAATAATTTGCAATATGTGGATTTAGGACGTTTTTTTACTTTTTATCAAAAATCTTTTAATTTTTATCTCGGACATAATTATTTGTTTATATTAGTTAAAACTAGATAAAATTTACTAAAATCTTTAGTATTTTGATAACTTGCAATATTTAGGACATTATTTTACTTTTTATCAAATAATTTTAAATTTTTTTCTCCGACATTATAATTTGTTTACATAAGTAAAAACTAGATAAAATTTACTAAAATCTAATAAAAACTGTTATATACACTTGGATATTGAAATTTTAAATAATTCGTAGTTTAAATGCGGACTTCAGTATTTTGATGGATAAATAAATTTATGGATAAATAAATCCAGCACTGGTAAACAAAATATTTAAGGATATTTGAAAATTTTGAGCATTGTTAATTAAGTTATTTTCAAATTATTCACTTACAATTGAATAAGTAATTGTTGATTAATTCTTTAAATGAATCTGTGCGTTTATTTATTAA